CTGTCTCTCTCTCTGTCTGTCTGTCTCTTTGTAGTAACTGTCTCTCTCTCTGTCTCTCTCTCTCTGTCTGTCTGTCTGTCTGTAGTAACTGTCTCTCTCTCTGTCTGTCTGTCTCTTTGTAGTAACTGTCTCTCTCTCTGTCTGTCTGTCTCTTTGTAGTAACTGTCTCTCTCTCTGTCTCTCTCTCTCTGTCTGTCTGTCTGTAGTATCTGTCTCTCTCTCTGTCTGTCTGTCTGTCTGTAGTAACTGTCTCTCTCTCTGTCTGTCTGTCTCTTTGTAGTAACTGTCTCTCTCTCTGTCTGTCTGTCTCTCTGTAGTAACTGTCTCTCTCTCTGTCTCTCTCTCTCTGTCTGTCTGTCTGTAGTAACTGTCTCTCTCTCTGTCTGTCTGTCTGTCTTTTTCTCTGTCTTTCTGTCTGTCTCTCTGTAGTAACTGTCTCCCTGGTTGTTGACAGGAAGAACTGGAGTCAGTCGTGGACCGTCCTCCATGGAGGAATCCTCACCTTTCACAAAGACCCCAAGTCTGCTCCGACTGGGAACGCAGTGAGAACCAATCTCTCATTATATAATATATATAACACACACACACACACACACACACACACACACACACACACACACACACACACACACACACACACACACACACACACACACACACACACACACACACATGTATAATGTATACAGTAACAGAGCTGACAGGAAATAAACAGGTTTCTAGAAGTTACAGAAATGTTGACAAAGACTTGAACCACCGTCTCTGAGCAGAGAACATGTCAGCTGTTGTTCACTCTGACTGTCACAGTCTTCAGTCAGTTAAACTGAATACATAACATAAACATTACTAACTAACTATGGTACACAATACATGGAAATATATAAAATATGAGCAACATACATACTGTATTTACTTATAGATATATACATACATACTGTATATACATATAAAAAAGCCAAACTGTGTCTGTAAATGACAACCACACAAACACAACACAGGTCACCATGTAAACTGAGACAGATACATGTGACACACACACAGATGAAGCTGACGATGAAGCTGACGATGAAGCTGACTTCCTGTTTTTCAGAGTAAAGCGTCACAGATTGTTCCAGAGTACACAGTGGACCTGAGAGGTTCTTCAATCGGCTGGGCCTCCAAAGACAAGTCCTCCAAGAAGAACGTTCTCGAGGTACGAGGTCTGTTACTGTGGTTACAGCCTGTTCTAGTGGTTCCACATCTTTGTTACCATGGTGACAGTCTATTCTAAAGACATGCACCGCTCCCATCGTGTGAGATATCACAGTTACCGTGGTTACTGTGGTGAAGCAGTGAAGTGGATGACATGGTTACTCACTCAGATGTCTGTGTGTGTGTGCAGCTTAGGACTCGTCATGGCTGCGAGTACCTGATGCAGTACGACACCGAGAGCATCATCAGTGACTGGCTCAAAGTGATCCAGGACACCATCAGACAGCTGGTAACACACACACTCACACACACTCACACACACACGCTCACACACACACACACTCACACACACTCACACACACTCACACACTCACACACACTCACACACACTCACTCACGCTCACACACGCTCACCCACACTCACACACACTCACACACACTCACACACTCACACACACTCACACACACTCACTCACGCTCACACACGCTCACCCACACTCACACACACTCACACACACTCACACACTCACACACACTCACACACACTCACTCACGCTCACACACGCTCACCCACACTCACACACACTCACACACACTCACACACTCACACACACTCACACACACTCACTCACGCTCACACACGCTCACCCACACTCACACACACTCACACACACTCACACACTCACACACACTCACACACACTCACTCACGCTCACACACGCTCACCCACACTCACACACACTCACACACACTCACACACTCACACACACTCACACACACTCACTCACGCTCACACACGCTCACCCACACTCACACACACTCACACACACTCACACACTCACACACACTCACACACACTCACTCACGCTCACACACGCTCACCCACACTCACACACACTCACACACACTCACACACTCACACACACTCACACACACTCACTCACGCTCACACACGCTCACCCACACTCACACACACTCACACACACTCACACACTCACACACACACACACACACTCACACACACACTCACACACACTCACACACTCGTCAGGTTAACTGTGGGACTGTTTCAGGAGCAGGAACACCTGACGGAGGACGAGGACGAAGCAGCTTCAGACAAAGAGGACAAAGACAGGAAGAGGACGTGTAAGTCTCTCTGATATGTTCTTTAGCGTATCAGTTGTATCAGTTGTTGTTGTTGTTGTTTCTCGGTGACTATTTTGAAAAAGCTGAATCATCTGAAACCAACACCGGTCCGACCCTCGTTGTCTCTGTCCTCTGGCGTCTCAGCGACCAGGACGTCCTCTGGACCGGACTCTGAGCAGAGACGTGTCCGGACCAAACTGAGGCGGTTCCTCCAGCGCAGGCCGACGCTGCAGAGCGTCAAGGAGAAGGGATACATAAGAGGTAAACCTGATCACACGGGTCACTGATGACATCACAGAGAAACCAGGAAGAAATGCAATGTTAACACTGAGGCTCCGCCCCCTTCCTGTCCTCCAGACAATGTGTTTGGCTGTCACCTGGACACACTCTGTCACAGAGAAAACACAACCATCCCCAGGTTTGTGGAGAAGTGTGTCAGAGCAGTGGAGAGGAGAGGTACACACACACACACTCACACACACACACACACACTCACACACTCACACACACACACTCACACACACACACACTCACACACACACACACACACACACACACACACACACACACACACACACACACACTCACACACACACTCACACACTCACACACTCACACACACACACTCACACACACACACACACACACACACACACACACACACACACACACACACACACACTGAACCCACACCTTCTCTCATGTCAGACACTCAGTTATTATATATTATATTAATAAAATACAGTAATAAAAAGTTATTAATGGTTATTAGATTCTCCTTCTGTTCATGTCATAATATCATTATCATCATTGATCAACACATTGATCACATGACTTCAGTCTACATGACGTGAGTCTGATCAAATGTTTAATCCATCGAAGGAACAGAGAATCTAAACACACACAGATCTGAAAGTTCAGTGTGTGTGTGTGTGCGTGTGTGTGTGTGTGCGTGTGTGTGNCACACACACACACACACACACACTGAACCCACACCTTCTCTCATGTCAGACACTCAGTTATTATATATTATATTAATAAAATACAGTAATAAAAAGTTATTAATGGTTATTAGATTCTCCTTCTGTTCATGTCATAATATCATTATCATCATTGATCAACACATTGATCACATGACTTCAGTCTACATGACGTGAGTCTGATCAAATGTTTAATCCATCGAAGGAACAGAGAATCTAAACACACACAGATCTGGTGTGTGTGCTCGCTCAGGTCTGGATGTTGATGGGATCTACAGAGTGAGCGGGAACCTGGCTGTGATCCAGAGACTGCGACATAAAGCCGATCATGGTAACAAATGTTCTCAGACACTCACACACAAATGTGACATATATACATATATAGAACTTATATACATGAAATATTTGTGCATATAAAATAAAAACATATGTAAATGTATATATAAACACAATTTATTGACATATATGTTTGTGTATGTATTACATTACATATTATATTACATTACATAAATTAAATAAAATATATGATTAACATATATGGCAACATCACTCTCGATGTAAACTGAGCGCTGTGACCGCTCCTGCTTCTGTGTGGAGCTTCGTAAATTCAATTCAAGGCCCGACCTTGCTACCCCCAACTCAGAAGGAGACGGGTCTGCTGCTGATGTGAGGCAGGAAGTGACATGTTCAACAGTTCACTTCACATTAATTAATTCCAATAACTGAGTGTAGAGAGTCAGTGTGAGGTTCAGCAGCCAGAGACAGATGAAAGACTGAGCCTGAAGATGAGGTGATGACCTGAATGTGTCTCCATGCAGACGATGTGCTGCTGTTTGTGATGTTGTGAGCTGCTGCAGATGTTGCTGTGTGACTGTGTGCAGAGGAACAGCTGGACCTGGAGGACGGACAGTGGGAGGAGATCCACGTCATCACCGGAGCGCTGAAGCTTTTCCTGCGCGAGCTTCCAGAACCGCTGTTTCCCTTCAGCTGCTTCGACAAGTTCATCGCCGCCATCCGTCAGTGAACAACACCTACGTCACACGTCACTCATGTTACACACAACCTACATCATGTGACACAATGAGGGGTGGGGGGGTCGTTGTGCATAAGTGACCCCGCACCTGAAGCAATTCCTTTTCCTGCAGAGGTCCCAGACCACAGCCTGAGAGTTTCCTACATGAAGGACCTGGTCCGGACTCTGCCGCTGCCAAACCACGACACCATGGAGCTGCTGTTCAAACACCTGCGCAGGTAAGTTCAACCTGAGGCTTCTTAGAACCAGGACCAAAAGACCAAGACTGGTTTTCATTCATCCACCCCCACTCTCTCTCTCCAGGGTGATCGAGCACAAGGACTCCAACAGGATGTCGGTTCAGAGCGTTGCCATCGTGTTTGGACCCACGTTGCTCCGCCCCCAGACCGAGTCCGCCAACATGACGATCCACATGGTTTTCCAGAGCCAGATAGTGGAGCTCATGCTCAACGAGTTCCAGAACGTTTTCTCCCAGAGTTAGGAGGAACCTCCTGTAGCTCTTCTGGGACCTCAAGCACCACCAGAGAACATCCTGGAAACTCCTGGAAGGTCCTGAAAGCCCCATGAGAACTGCCAAAAATCTTCCAAAGTTTCAGAGACCTCAACATAACCTCGTCTCAGATTCAAAGTCACGGGGCATTGAACCCTGGACCTGCTGACTACATGGCCCCCCTTCCAAACACTGTGCCTTAAAATAAAATTGTAGATCTATGGACCCAAACATTTTCATATTTTTTAAAAACCAGTGGACATTCGGGATCAGAGAGGACTCTATCACACCCACTACAGCCTCTAACCACTTAGGCCTGAGCAGTCCAGGTAGAACGTGAATGAACTGGACCTGTTTCAAACCAGCACAAGTTCCAGATCCATCTAGGAGCTTGTGGAACACTGGACCCAAACATATTCTCCTGTATTTTAATACATATACAAGTTCATAAAGGATTAAACATGGAACGTGTTGACATTCGTGTCCGCCCTGTGTCACCACTGTGTCTCCAACAGCCAAAGTACAAACCTAGAAACCTGAACTGGTTCTGAAACCTTCTTTTGGATCATCACTTTTCTTTTTCAAGGCAACAGACCAAACAAAACACATTTTTTCTCAGCAGCCGAAAACCCTACCATTCTCACTTTGAGCAAGAACTGTCCCAACAAGTTTCAGATACCTCTGGAACTCTGGAGCTCTCTGGACCCAAACTCTTTTCCTATTCATGTTTTTGATTGATCTATAGATTTCAGAGTTCGGGGGGGTTTGAACACCTCCTACGTTTTCATTTCACAACGATTTGAACCTTCAATAACACAGATAGACCCTGAATGGATCCATCTAGAACCCTGGACTGGTTCTCAAACCTTAACCAGCAGACAGACAAATCACAGCCTTTTGGCACCTGAATAAAATCATGAATAGAACCTCATAGAACTCTTCGTGACCCACATCTCACCACCAGACCCCCCAAGCCTCAAATGACCCAAGAGTAACTGGAATGGATCTGGAACCGCGACCAGATCACACCCTCAAAACACAAAACATCCCGACCTCTCGACCTTTGTGTCCCGTGTGACTGTGCTTTTCTGTACCTGAAGGTTTATTTTGGAATCCAAATGTCTCTCAAGAGCTTATAACAGAACTCGTGAAAAGTCCTTCTGAACTGAACAAACAGCATTTCCACACTTCCACTGAACAGAGCTTAGATTTTGGGTTGACCCCCCCTGAACAGGAACACACTGTGGGTTTATGTTTGTGGGCGTACCTGTGGACACTACGTGAACCTGCCTAGATGTCAGAGGAATTAGATCAGACTTATTCTTCACTCACACATCGAGCCTGAGAACACCGAACACACTGACTCAGAGTGAAACTAATTGAAAATATAAACTCTTGTTGGTCCTTCTGTTCAATTTTCTCTTATTTTCAATCAGTGCCTTAGAATTGACCCTAACCCTTTCAAACAGGAAGTGTAAAGAGTCTGGAGTTGACACTGATTGGCTGGTCTTACCTGCTCACTGCCTTACACTCTGCCACTCTGCAGGTATGCAGGTGTTGGTGTCAGATCGCTTGTTGTTCAGTTTTAGTTTAATTTAAATGATCTACTTGTTAATGTCCATGTTCAGGTTCTGGAGTCTGGAGCCGGTGTGTTCCCAGTATCAGTCTGTGCTACATTCACTGACTCTGGAAAACACAGATTTGCTGTTGATACCAAGTAAAAGTTTAACATGAAACTTTGTCGTATTAAACACTGCATCAAACTTTAGTCTTGATCCGGTCCTGATGATGTCATCAGTCAGTGACAGATCCCACGTGTTGTTTTAGACTGTCGTCATGGCGATGGTATGCAATCACAAATCAACTGAGAAATGATCAAATTCTCTTGTGCCCACATCGTCTTTCTGCTGAGCTAGTAGCTAAGCTAAGGTAAACACACATGGATCTATGTTTGCATGAATCTAAATGTGTATCAGGATGTTCAAAGGACCGGGTCATCTCCTGAGGGACTCCACAAGAGAACGTAGAGAGCATAGAGTAGAACATGGAGAACAAGAGGTTTTACAGTGTTTCAGTTTGTCTTGAGGGAACATTTTACTGCTGTTGTTTGTGTAACGGTGAATAATCTGTACAATGTTGTATGTTTTTATAGTTTTGACTTTCTATGTGTTCAGAACAAAGTTAACGTCACCAGACTGTACATAAGAGGGTATTTTACTGACTTTAATAAAGAGGAAACAGTGTTCAGTCTGTTTCCTGCTGTATGAAACCACAGCTGCTGCTCCGACACAGTGTCCAAATATCAGGTTTGGTTGGTGGTGTGGTTACCATGGCAACTGTGGTACTGCCAACTCTCTACAAACAGACAGAAGAGGAGGGGTCACTCAGTGCCATTTGTTCTGGGATGTTAATGTGTCACGTGACACAACATAAAAACCTGCTGTGAGACCAGGACCACTTTATTAGGTACACCTCTATAAGCACTGAGTGATGAGCTGCTGTGGGCGGAGTCAGCAGAAACACCGTTTCACACCAGCGCTTCTCAACCTCCTTCAGCTTGTCCCACAAGGACTCTTAAACAACACAGAGGTCAAACAACAGGATCTCAGAGTGGTGAACGTTCAGGACTGAAGCAGGAGGTCAGGAGGCAGATCTCTGATTCACCTTCTGTCTCTGGCGCCTTCCTCGTCACTTCCTGTTTCTAACCAGCTGTCTGTTCTGATTCCAGTGTGTAGATGGAAGTCATAAACATGTAAACAGGGATAGATTTTTATATTTATATATATTTTTACCATAATTTTACAGTTTGTCGAACCACTTGCAACATGTTCGCGGCCCCACAGTGGGCCCCGGACCACAGTTTGGGAATCACTTTAAAAAATACCCACAAAAAAAAAAACTAACATCAGTTAAAGTTTCACTTTACTTTGAATAATTTCACTTTACCTGCGTCAAACACACTTTTACTTCGGAACTACATGTGTTCAACCGTTGAACTACCGTATTCCTGCGCACAGGCTTACCACAGCGCAGACTGTATTACTCCGCAGATCAGCTGTGTGAGCCACAGAGAGCTGAACGGAGGTGGACGTGTGAAGTAATATAGACGGCAGGTGGCTTACACACCTGGACTGTGTCAGACTGTGACGCTGCTGGACTCAGAGACCTCAATTCCAGGTGTCAGGTCCGGGTTTCAGGTCCAGATCTCAGGTCCGGTGCAGACACGTCTCTTTATTTAACGTTGAATCCGGACAGAGACGAAGAGACAGACTGAGTCACTCTGCTCAAAAGAACTGCACTGCGCAGGCGCGGTCCGGTAGCCGGTTGTCATGCAGACGGTTTGTTATTACTGACCCGCGAAGAGGCTGGAAACACCTGAACACACAGACCGAGAGCACGAGGAGATAAAACTAGTGCAGGTAAGATGTTTAACTCACCTTTACCTGTCCGCTGAGCTAACGTTAGCCCCGAGCTAACGGAAGCTAGCTGCCGTTAGCCATGGATGTATTGCGTTAGCCCAGGAGCTAGCGTTAGCCACTCAGCTCCGTTCAAACACCATGTTTCTTTTAACTGGGACACAGACGGTTCACCTGCAGAACTCACCTGTGGATCCACGCGGCTCATGTGGGAGCTCAGGTGTGTCACTGTGAACAGCGGCTCAGCTGCGTTCACTGACAACACCTTCACTGCTGTGAAGCGGGGTCACCTCAGGTGTTCCGGGACCGGGTTTACACCGTGATCCAGATCCAAGTGAAGAGTCTCAACACATCAACAGTCTGTCGTCATGGAGACAACACGTGACTGACAGACCGCTCACCTGGTCTCGTGGACTGATATTTGACTGAGACATGAAGCTGTTGTGATGTTTTTTTTTTTGTTTGGGGGGGGGTTGGGGGGACCAACTCCATGTTATTTAATGTTACTGTCTGACATCATCAGGTGATGGCGATGTCAGAGCGTGATGTCATCGACTTCTCGGCGTTGGAGCGCGAGCTGCAGGCGGCGGTGGAGTCTGAGCGCAGACACCAGAGAGAGAACGAGGCCAAACTGAGAGCAGTCAGCCAGGGAGTCGCCTCCTACAGGGAGTTCAGGTAACTGCAGGGGCCTGGAAACATCTCCAGGACTTTCTAGGACTCATTGAAGGAGCCCTCTGCTGACCAAAGGATCCCTGTAAAGTATCCTAGAACTCCTTCAAGGACTCCTGGAATGTCTTTAAAAAAACCTGGAGCCTTCAAAATCATCCTTGAAATTCCCTCAAGGATCCTTTAAGTGTCATGTAGGAACGCAGCATCGTTCTGAACCAACTAACTACAATACCCAGAGTGCTTCAGAAGTGTCCTGGGATACCTCAAGACTTCCTGGAAATGTTTTGGAGGACTCCAGAACTCCTTGAAGGAGTTTCAAGAAACTCTCAAAGGCTCTCAGGATCCTTCCAGGTATTTCAAGGGGCCTTGAGGGAGCTCCTTGAAATATTGTTAAGATTAATATTCCAGGGTCCTGGAAATGTAACCAAGCTGACTCTTACATGTGATCTTGTCTCTGTCAGGGACCTGGTCTTGACCTGTCACCTGAAGCCTCTGGACAAGAACGACAAAGACAGAGCTCCACGGAAACAACCCTGTAACCCTGTTGCCCCGAGCAACGAGGAACAAACAAGCCATTGTTAATCCTAAACCTTTTTACTGTTATCTCATTTAAAGCATGTTGCTGTCCTGGAAAACCTTGTTTCTCCAGGACTTAAAAACTTTCCAGGAGCTTTCAACTCAGTTCTGGAAGTTTTCCTGCAGTGACTGAGTGTGAGCATCAGGTGGAGCTGGAGGACAGGCGCTGCAGCTCAGCTGTTCTCAGTCTGTGTGAATGTGAGATATGTTTTATATGAACTGAAGACACCGAGGACGGAGACAGGCTGAGTCTGGGCTTTTCAAAATAAGACACAACAACCAAATGAATGTAATGTAGAAAACAACATGCAGCTGTCAGATGACAGGAAACAGAAGGGTGAATATTTACTGGTTATTAAAGTATTTTCTGTTTGTGTTTAATAAACTGACGATCCTTCGTTAATGAACTGACTCTGTTCAAACTGACTCTGAGTCACTTTTTATAAACTATTTATTTCTATGAACTTATTTTCTCTGATGTGAAACAGGAAGTGGTTTATGCTGAGCAGGTTCAAACACAGAGAGGAAACACAGGGAGGAGGTCTCACTCTGTGTATTTATGGAGTCCTGGAGTACTTAGCCCTGAGAAAATTCCGGGTAACTTGAAAAGACTGAAGGACTCCTCAGTATGAGTTCAGGGGTCATTTCAGACTCCAGAGGTCACTTAAGGTTTCTGTGACTGTTTTCAAGGTAACGTCCTTGAACAGCTCCAGGAGTTCTTGACATAAATGACTTTTGGCAGAGTTTCCAAAGTTTCCAGGAGTCTAATGAGGATCATTTGATTCCCTGAGGGGATTTAAAGTTTCTTGAAAAATTATAAAACCCCTTTTAAATTGATCTAAGGGTTCTTCCAGGATCCTTGAAAGGACTATGATTGCCCTCAAGAACCCTCCAGAAGTCCTAGAAAGGTGTCCAGGTGTCTTTGAACTATTGATCAGAGTTTCAAGGATCCCCCAAAAGTTTCCAAGATGTTGTGATGATCCGTGTTTGGTCGATAAGACGTTTCCAGTAGTAGTAGTAGTAGTAGTAGTAGTAGTAGTAGTGTGTGGAGTGAGTCATCTGTCAGAGCAGAGACGATCTTCGGCTGCAGGTTGATGTTCGTGTGAGCGGAATCAAACCCGCGGCTCTGACAGACAGAGACGGACACGGAGGAGACATCAGACTCCACAGTTCTACTTTCCCGCGGGTTTGTTCTCTTTCTTCTTCTGCAGCTTCAGGTGAGTTTCTCTCTCTCTTCAGGTTCTTCTTCGTTCTTTGATTTGAAGTGATGAACGCGTCGCGGTTGCTTCACGTGCAGGAGTTTAAAAACCAATAATCACTGATTACAGATGTCAGAGTTCCTCATCACATTCAACCGGGTTATTAGAGTTCAGGCGGAAGAGTCCTGAACGTGTCGGTGAAGTGAAACTGTAGAAAATTGGATGATGAGTTCAAGTTCTCACTGTGACCTGAAGAACACGAAGCTCACGAGCTTCTGATGATACGTGACGTGATAGTGACGTGAGTCAGGTTCCAGTTCACATAGTTTAATGTCTGTTACCTGGACACTGAGTCTGCAATTAAGTTTGGATTGATTGATTGATTGATTGATTGATTGATTGATTGATGCCCAGAGTCCAACGTGAACCTTCAGATTGTTTGTTTTGATCAACAGTAGATGAAGATGATTTAAGGAAAAGCAGCAGGTCATCACATGTGAGAAGCTGGAACCAGGAAATGATTCAAACTGCTGTCACAATAATTACTTTTCCAATCAATCACCTCATTGATAGCTAATGATAGGTGATTTAATCAGTGGTAAATCTTTCAAATCTAAATCTACTTTTGTTCGATTCTTCAGACTGAGATCATGAAGGATCAGAACTTTAAAGACGAGGTGATGAAGATTCTGGAAGAAGCTCCGAGCGCCAGGAGAGCTCTGCTGGAGAACTACGACAACCTGCTGAGGGTGGCCGACTACTGCCACGACAACTACCTACAGGTTAGTACTGGTTAGTACTACCACTACTACTGGCACGACAACTTCCTACAGGTTAGTACTACCACTACTACTGGCACGACAACTTCCTACAGGTTAGTACTACCACTACTACTGGCACGACAACTTCCTACAGGTTAGTACTACCACTACTACTGGCACGACAACTTCCTACAGGTTAGTACTACCACTACTACTGGCACGACAACTTCCTACAGGTTAGTACTACCACTACTACTGGCACGACAACTTCCTACAGGTTAGTACTACCACTACTACTGGCACGACAACTTCCTACAGGTTAGTACTACCACTACTACTGGCACGACAACTTCCTACAGGTTAGTACTACCACTACTACTGGCACGACAACTTCCTACAGGTTAGTACTACCACTACTACTGGCACGACAACTTCCTACAGGTTAGTACTACCACTACTACTGGCACGACAACTTCCTACAGGTTAGTACTACCACTACTACTGGCACGACAACTTCCTACAGGTTAGTACTACCACTACTACTGGCACGACAACTTCCTACAGGTTAGTACTACCACTACTACTGGCACGACAACTTCCTACAGGTTAGTACTACCACTACTACTGGCACGACAACTTCCTACAGGTTAGTACTACCACTACTACTGGCACGACAACTTCCTACAGGTTAGTACTACCACTACTACTGGCACGACAACTTCCTACAGGTTAGTACTACCACTACTACTGGCACGACAACTTCCTACAGGTTAGTACTACCACTACTACTGGCACGACAACTTCCTACAGGTTAGTACTACCACTACTACTGGCACGACAACTTCCTACAGGTTAGTACTACCACTACTACTGGCACGACAACTTCCTACAGGTTAGTACTACCACTACTACTGGCACGACAACTTCCTACAGGTTAGTACTACCACTACTACTGGCACGACAACTTCCTACAGGTTAGTACTACCACTACTACTGGCACGACAACTTCCTACAGGTTAGTACTACCACTACTACTGGCACGACAACTTCCTACAGGTTAGTACTACCACTACTACTGGCACGACAACTTCCTACAGGTTAGTACTCGTTTCTCCTACCACTACTACTGCACCGACAACTAGCTACAGGTTAGTACTGGTTACTACTGCCACTCCTACTGCCACGACAAATACCTACAGGTTAGTACTACCACTACTATTACTACTGCTGCCACGGCAAGTAGTAGTTTCCCTGTGTTGTCAGTCTTTGTACTAAGCTAGGCTAACTGTCCTGTCTCCATGTGTTGCTATCAGTCAGGTGACGGGAGTTTGAAGGCGTTGGAGGAAACTAAAAACTTCACCACCCAATCACTGGCCAGCATCGCCTACCAGATCAGCACTCTGGCCAGTAGCGTGCTGAGTCTGTTCGATGCTCAGACCAGTCAGCTTCGTCACATGGAGTCTTCCATCAACCTCATTGGTCAGGTGAGCTGACTCACACATACACACACAAACCTGTACAGTATGTCTGTGCGATATCAGTGTAACACGTAAGTTGTAAAAAAAAATCTTGTGGTTGTCTTGGTAACGACGTGTCTTTACTTCATCTGTGCATCAACAGTTTTTTCCTCTCGATTGTCTGTTTCTCTTTCTTCAGAATTTGTGCTGAGAATACAGATCCAGGTCGTGTGTGTGTGTGTGTGCGTGTGTGTGTGTGTGTGTGTGTGTGTGTGTGTGTGTGTGTGCGTGCGTGTGTGTGTGTGCGTGTGTGTGTGTGTGTGTGTGTGAATGAGTGCGTGTGCGCGTATGTGCAAGTGTGTTCACGCGCATGCTGAATACACACTTTGCTCTCGCTGTGTGTGCTTACCCAGCTCCCTCTGCTTGTTTGTTTCCAGCC